GGAGGCTACGATTAGCATCGTTAGCAGCACCGATATAGCTACTACTAGCTTACATGCTAACCCAAGCCTTACCATTCATTACGTAGCTGATTAAAATCATTAACACATAAATAAAGCACCCAAATTTCACTTACCGCATTCATGCAACGTCTGTTTTAACCGCAGAGCGAGTCACAATAGTCCGATATATAAGCATGAAGAACAAACAACCACGGCTGTTTCCTGGATGAGCTGAGCAGGCAGAGTCCATGTAGCTAGCTTCACGGAGCAGAGAGACAAGAAGCTAACAGTGGCAGTCACTTCACAGAGCCGTCACTCAATGTGACCACGCCCTAATTTATGCACAAACTTTAAGACCTAATATAAATAAAAGGATCGCGTTAGAAAACAATTCACTCACAGATCCATAATCATGAAGGTGGAATCTAACTATATCGATAATAAAATGTATGGAGCCAGGGGTAGAAACATGTTTTTTTCTGCTGTAAAATTGGGCATTTTAACATGGGGTCTATGGAAATTGCTCCTTTCTGCAGCCATCGCCTATCGGCCAATATATGAATTGCAGTGTGTGGCACTTCCGTATTGGCTTCCCGGCTCTACCCCACAGTTTGCCGCTTGGTTCCGGCACGCGCCATAATAACGTGAGAGAGGCAGAGAGCTGCCTGCAAAATAAATGATGGCTCAAAGTTCACCAATGAACTTTGCTTTTTTTTTAAACTTCAAGAAGAGTTGCCCCTCATCTAGCAGCGATCTATACGATCATTTTCTGATAACGATGAAATAGCCCCGTCTCCCTCTCCCCCCACCTCTCCTGCTGCTGGGCTGCCAGAAGAAAAAAATGTGTAACGGAAACTCTGCCGCACGGTGCCCTCGTCCCTTGGAAGAGGCGGAGAGGTGGGTGTTGTTCATCTGCTGGTGGACAGTCCGGAGAGATATACACAGAGTTGGGTTGTAACCATAGGTTGTAACGGAATACATGTAACGGCGTTACGTAATCAGAATACAAAAAGCAAGTGTATTCAGCTGGCGTTACATTTGAAAAACGAGTAATCTGATTACAGTTACTTTCGTAAACCTGAAGTGAATACATTTTGGAATACTTATTGGAATTATTGGTGGAAAATGTAATATTCATTACCGGCAGAACTGTGTGCACTGCACGGCTCTGCAGCATGTCGGTGAGCGAGAGAGAGATGCAGCGTGAGGCCCCGCCCCCGCACGCAGATGAGAGAGAGATCTCTTTTAAAATATATTGAAAGTTAGAAACGGAGATGGTTAGATAAAATGTGCAAGATAACGTTTATGTAGCATTTCTTTATTGTCAAAATGATGACATTTATAACGGGATCAAATCAAAGTGAATGGCCTGCTGCTGCTGAATGCATGGGGCAAGTGACTGGACAAAGTTTTAAAAGTTATTACATCGTTTCAGATAATAATAATAAATAATAATGATGATGATTCATTCTATTTAGGGGCGCCTTTCAAAGCACCCAAGGACACCTTACAATTCATAACATATTCTAAGGAAAGGTTTTAAGACAGTACAAAGAATGCAGTCCGGGTGATGTGTTTTATGTGGGGTGCAGATGAGAGGGAGCTGTCCAGAATGACACCAAGATGTTGTGTTTGTGCTCTTGATAAGCGAGATTAAAACAGTAAAATACGTGTCTCCTGTTCACCAAATCATACCCATCTGTTATGGAAAAAGAAAGTATTCCAAAAGGAATCTGCCACCGGTACCGGCGGGGATTGTTGTTAGCTTCTGATGCCAGAAGAAAAATATGGCCCACCCTATTTTTTACAGGCCCACCCTAAAGTACATTTCTGCCTATGCTACTGGTTTGTGTGTGCCAGGTGTGATTCACATGGGGGGATTGGGCACATAAGGGGGGGGCACATCTAGAGAATGTGTGTGTGTGTGTGTGTGTGTGTGAACACCATGGTTGTTACAAAATTGACTAAATAATCCAAAATTCAATGAAAGTGGTGATCAGCAATGTTATATGTTCACATGTCTACTGTGAAGGATAGCATAAAGCTTTAATGCAATCGAATATAAAACAAAAAAGTTATGATTGATGAAAGTAGTAAATCGGTCAGGTTTGACCCGAAGACATCTGGTGGAGTTTAGAGTAGTCTATAGATAAGAAAACACAGCTAAATTGTTTATTTCTACTTATATGTAATCCAATTCCACTTAAAAAAACTGGCACTTAGTTTACGTCAATTCTTAAGGTCAATTCCTGAATTGTTTAAGCTTGACATTTATTTTGTTTACCTTCACCTTTTCTTGAGGCAAACACAAGTCCAGGGTGAATAACCTGCAGTTTGCTGGATCTCCTCTTCTATGGGGCTTAACCTTGCAACTGTCTCATTCTACTGAATTATCTTTGATGTTAGGAACAACAATATGGATTAGTTGTGCCCAAACCCCATACAAGCAGCAGCCTGGAGCACAGCTGGATCTGTTTCACATTTTAGCATCAAATGTATTTTCAGATTGTTATTCATATTTAGGAAGCGAGAAATGTTTACATATTGCTGTATTTTCTTTTAAACATGTATTGTTTTTGTGCACAGAGGCTTCATAGCTAACTAGAACTACAGAGGACAATCTGGGAGGTCTAATCCTATAGAGCAAAGCCATTTGCTACAGGCATATCATGCTCACAGACAAGGCTTTGAGGGGATTCTGCTGTGGTCTGTGTTAAGCATGCAGTATCAATTCTGAGGGTAACCTGCACCACAGTGTGCACCTTTAAATACATGAAAGGAGGCCCTCTTAAACCCTCTAAAGCCCTCTTTACTTTAACCTGTTCTGACTGCTGTTCAGTTTCTCTATTCACAGAGTTGTTATCAAACAGTAGAATAAATCAATGTAGTAAAAGAGAAAATGTTTATAAATAATCCGTCCAACAACAGAATGGTGGTTTGAAAATTGTTTTGATGTTCTCTTAGAAATAATAATTAGAAAGGAGCTGAATATTGTGTGAGCAGACATGCTGGAATTGACAACTAAAATCTAATTTAGGCATGTTACTACTCCGTGGACATTAGTCATTTCCTGACTGTCAGCACTATATATATATGTAAAGCTTCCTTGTATAGCAAATTCATTTGGGTAATGAGTCCATAGAGTTTGGTGATATTCTGTACATTGCTGCCAATTTTTTTAGGTGAGGGTTTTTAGTTTATTTTCCTGATTTATTGGTCAGCCCCTGAAAAATGAGTGAGGTCATTGCTAAGCGGCTGGCTGGTTAAGTGTTGAAACAAAGTGCGAAGATGGGTCTGAATTCTTTGTAACTACTTGGTGAACTGTGTAGACAGACGGCCCGTCCACACTACAGCGTCGACAGCTTCAATCTGCCCATTCACTTTGAATGGGGTGACGTCACGTTGCCTCGCTTTTTCGCCGAACTGAATTGTGGGTAGCATAGTGGTCCGTCTCCGCCGGAGTAGCCAGCGCCAGCCAATCAAATCCCGTTTCTGAAAATCTGACAGCTCAAGCCGTAGCCAATCAAACCGCGTCTAAGCTGGGAGAGATATCCCGCCGTTCATTTCTATATTTCAAAAAAAGATGGAGGAGAAACTAATTATCGCCGTAGCAAATCACCCGGTTTTGTATGACCAGACCCTCTTCACCTACCAGGATACAAACCGGAGGAACCAGGCATGGAGGGAGGTGGCAGAAACAGTGGGTGAAACTGGTAGGTTTTCGCCTGTTTGGGGAGTTTATATATATATTGCTCCCATAAAATCCCCGGGGGTTTTTGCTTTGTATGTCGGGGGCGGGAGATTCATGTGATTGGTTGTTGGTCGCGTTGCTTGAATAAAATCCCCAAGCTTCAGACACGCCCAGCTCCAAGCTTTTTTTGAAGCTGTAGTGTGGACGCTCCGTCAGTATCACAAGAGGCCAGCCAGCAAAGACAGACTCGGGGAAAAAACAGTATGTAGAGCCAGCCATTTTCACATACACTTAACGGTAAATTAAGAGATAATTGTTGGAACATTGTATAAACTCAGTAAGAACGTTTGGTATACGGAATATATTGGCAATTTTAACTTATACCAGCCCTAGCCCATACTTTGTGTTAGCTGAATAAGGATTCAACTATTATGTTTGGAATAACATTGTAAGGGTACCCGAATAAACTTAGTTCAGACCACTGAACTTATGGCGCATTTCCACTACAGCGGGTAGCCCCGTTTAAGCGTCCTTAACCGTCCTCAAGCGGCCAGGCCAGTTTTTGGTGGCCTTTCCATATAGCCTAGCACCGGCTAGCGGGTACTTTTTCCGGCCCCATAATATCGTGGTTCTATCAGGCCAGGGCCAGGGCTGAACTAGTGACGTCAACACTCTCGACTGCTGATTGGTCAGAGAGAATCATCACAAGATCGCGCGTGAGATCATCCCTAGCGTCGCATATATATCTAGAAGCAAGCTTGCAGCATTTTTATAAGCAGCATTTTGTAAACGGAGGAGCTACAAAAATGGCAACGTCGAAGAAAAGCACACCGTGGTCGACCGAGGAGGTGACGACGTTCCTACATCTCATTGGGGATGATACAAATCCAGCGGGAGCTCGACGGAACAACGCGAAATGTGAAAGTGTTCCAGGATGTCTCTGCACAGATGTCCGAACGCGGATTGTCGAGGACTTTCCTGCAGTGTAGGGAAAAACTCAAAAAGATGAAGAGTGAATATCGCCAAGTAAAGGACAACAATAACACGAGTGGTGCGGGTAGGAAACAATGGAAGTGGTTCGACTTGTTGGACCAGATTTACGGCCATAGACCGGCCAACGTTGGGAGGGAGGGAGGCCTGGACTCTGCAACGGCTTTACTGGAGTCCCTGCTGTGGTGGTTGCATTCTCCAGCCACCTTCCTTGTGTGTGTGTTTTCCCTTTCCCTGTTTGTGTGGGCGTGGTGCCTGTCACTCCTGGCTCCCGACTCAAATCTCCACCAGCTGCAAACAGTTGAGCACTCTCCTCTGAGACACACCTGATTCCCATCAGCCATTACGGATGGTATATCAGCGGAGGCTCCACAACCTGTCAGCGCCAGATCGTTGTTAAACCCCAGTGGTAAAACTCTTAGCCTTCTCAGCCTTCTTAAAGTATAGTGACTATTTTCGCTACACCTGAATATATTCTTACCTGTTCTTCTTGTGCTCCAGGATTACGCTTCAGTGGATTACGTTCCAGTGGATTAAAACTCCGGAGGATACTCTTCAGTGGATTACGCTCCAGTGGATACTCTCCAGCCGGATTATCTCCTCCAAATAAAACCTTTGTAACACACTGCCGTGTCCTGCGTTTGGGTTCTCTCAGATAACCATAACACCTGCAAGGTACGCTCACTTCTAACAAATAAGTCTATTTGAATCCTTACATTAATGTTCGACAACCCATGCTTTTATGGAGCCCCGAAGAGCTACATAGCTAGCTAAGGCAGATAGCCTAGGCAGATAGCCTTAGCTAGAGCTATTGTTTGCTAACACCATATGTGCCATTGTTTACGTTCAGTTTTTCTTTTCTATAGTTGTTGTTGCTATTTAGTATTGTGCTGCAGTAGTTTGTGAAATTAACAAGTCATTTTGCTGTTCTAGATGATTACATTGGGACTAGTGAGGAGGAACATTCCCGAACAACGGGTGATGGCAGTGTTCCGTCCACAACATCGTCATCGAATCCAGAACGGACCCCAGCTCGACCACAGACACTAGCCAAAGAACCGACACCAACTCAACCACCAACGCCGAGTGCCATCACGACACCGCAGCGTGTGGTTCTAGGTAAGAAATAGAAATGGCAAAACGACTGGAATTGTGTTTTGTTTTTTTAAACCTTGGATCATCCATCGTCAGTAATTAAAATAAGCTATACCACTGTGCGGAAATGCTCTGTTACAAGTAAAGTCTTAGCTAGTAAGCAGCTAGTACAGTTGTGTGTGACATCCTATCATATATTTATATTCATTATCAACAGGCTGGACATAATGTAATTCACTTTCACAATCATTGTAAACATCTAGGGCAAGAACTTTCTTTAGTTCACCTTACTGTTGTTCTGTTTATACATGTTATTCTTATATCCTTGTGTGACCTGTACCAGTGTTTTTTCCTTATTGCTAATTATTATCTTATTGTCACCCAGGCAAGAGGAAACGAGGAGAAGAGGATCGGGCCCAGCAGGAACGGCACCATGAACAGCACATGGCCCAGCAGGAACGGCACTTGGACTGGGCCAAAGCGTCTGCTGAGCGGAGATGGGAGTTGGATGCGGCCTTGAGAAGGGAGGAGGCCGCTCAAGCAGAGACCTTCAACCCAGCCTTCCTGCGCACTCTTGGCGAGGTGCTAGGGGGACTGGGCAGCCGACGTGGCCCGTCTCCTCCGTGATACTTCAAATAACCTTAATAGTTATTGTACATATTATATATTTTGTATCTAGTTAATTTTTAAATTCAACATTTGTACTTTCTTGTTTATTTATTTTCTTTAAAATGTGCATTTTAATATTTATTTTTACAATGCCATGTATATTTATGCTGGCTGCAATACAGTTTTACATTTTTTATTTGTATTGTTTAATGGCATGCCTTTTTTGTATTTTTATACTGCCATCAATAAAGTACATCTTTGACTTATCTTATCTCTTGTTGATAATGAATTGCACCCAACAGAAAAAAAATCAGATTCACATAATCTTGATTTAGAGAAGATATAAACATACATGAATTTATAAAGCAATAACAAACACCATCAGTTAGGAAAAAGCCCATAAGATAAGTTAGTTTTAAGAGATTTAAAGCAAGAAATTGAGTTTGCTAGCTTGAGGTCCTCCTCTAAAACATTATTACATGTTTATTTTGTAATAGTATTAAGAATACATGATAAATACATAATACATGTAGTAGAAATTGCTCAATTGTAATACCCTCGTTCTACTAGACTCAAACAACACATTCCTTATATATTTCAAAGACGAGAGAACAAAAGTAGAAACCTATAACCCATTCAAGCAAGCTTTTAACATGTCTAGAAGAAAGATTGAGGTTATATTTTAATATATTATTTTATGTTGTGGATACTTTAGCCTCCATCCATGTTTACAATTGTCCACACTATTTTACACTTGCATTTATGAATATAGTTTTGCTGTGTTTTACACTTTAGTATTTATGTTTATAGTTAGCTTTGATATTCGCTTAATTGATTAGAAAGATTTTCTTTTCATGATCTGATATTTCCTCAAATGTTCTTATTATGGGGCAGTACACTGGTGCTTGAAATTCAAATATTTACTAAATATTCAATTCAGATAACAACATTTGTTTAAAACATTTGACAAACACATGTATATGAAAAAAAAAAGATGTATTTATGTTCAATACAATGAATACAATACAATGCATATTTAGGTATTCAGGTAGCGCATCAAACCCTCTCTGATGTCAGTGCCCTCCTCCTCTGCACCAAAAAGCCTGCCCAAAAAGCCGATCGCCCCGCCTACATTGCGTTGCTACCCCAGGTCCTAAACTGTAATGGAAATGCGCCACGGCCTCGGACGGCCAGCGAGGCAGTCCGAGGCCTGAGCGAGGACGCTTAGGGACGCTTAAACGGGGCTACCCCGCTTCAGTGGAAATGCGCCATTAGTAAACTATCTAATATTATATAGCCTAACTGGTTGGATTTTTTTTTTTAAAGTACTGATATTATTATTTGGGAGTACTTAACATCTGATGACATATAGTCCTTTTTTTACATAAACAGCTTTGACACACGTCCTTTTTGTTTGTTTTATTAAATATTGCAATACAAATACAAAATGGTAGATGCAAAGGTAAAGGCAAAAGTTAATGCACTTTAAAATCCCTTTCATTGCAGTGTGTCTGTTATATGGGATGTACTAATGAAAATTGATGAAGAAATTGATTCATTTATAACCCCTTTATTGCACCTTGCGGCAGGTTGTATGGCACAGAGACAATTAAACTCATTATAGAATTGTAAAAAAAAATCTTAATCCTGCACTGATTAATTCAGCTCACAGCTTTATTTTACAAGATCTCTCGTTGTAAACACATTTGAGTAGTTACATTACTATTACAAGTCAAGTACTTGGGGGCATGTGGAAAATAATGAGTTCTGGGAGTAGGCCTACTTCTTCACCTTCAGTTACCATTTCATTTTCAATTATAACTTCAGGCAGACTTAATACTCAACTTCAGATTAGATTTGAACACACAGTGTAACGTTTCTTCCTGTTTACTTCTGAATCCAGAGCTGTGGTACATGTTTGGTAATTTAATGTAAGCATATTGTGCCCCTACATTGGATTACCCTTTGTGCTGCAGCATCAATATTCTTGCTAATTAAGATTTAGGACTGTGTTGTCCCCTGTTGACTCTTTTGTCACCACAGTGTAAGTGATCTGCATCGATTTTATTTTCTCATTTCTTTTTAATTGCATGGATTATGTCCCAGTGAAAATGGACCTCCCCACAATCACCCAATGCATGCAATCATTAACAGTATATTGTGCACTGGGAGGGATTTTACCATCATAAAAATGCATTAGGTTTAACAGTTAATTTCATATTTACGATACGTGAACGAACGCACACATTTTATACAAAGCAACCTATCGTTGTATACCTACTGATATGGTTAATAGTACCATTACGTTAATAGTACCATTTAGGTCAAATCAAAGATTTTAATTTCACGTAACAAAGTGTTATGGATGTCCATTTCAGGGATATAGTTGCTGACCAACAAAGCATATACATTTAATAATAAAAAGTGATAGGCTTTACATAGATAATACTTCATTATAAAATAAAAAAATACCTTGTATTGTTTTATGGATAAGCAAAGCCCCTACTTTTAAACAGCAGTTTTCATAGAGTTGATCAGATTAATTAGGGTTAAATTAAATGAAATTGCTGTGGGATCTTTGGAAATGCAAAGTTATAAAAAGTTACTAAAGATTGATGGCAAAAGAAAGTATCCAAAGCCCTGATTATTGAAAACTTCTCGCAAAATGTCTTATCTTTTTACTATTTCAATGTACATTTAGAGCAACATACTGAAAAGAACTCATATATTTATGCCTGGATATTGTTTTAAAGAGTTTTGTTCATTATCATAGAGGTTCAGCAAATATCTCCTCACAGTTGTGTTGTGTGGGTATTCATACACAGCCCTGCCTCTGCATATGGGAATCAAGCAAAGTGTCTCAGACTGAGCCCCACAACACTATTTCAGCCAGGATGTGAAAAGTAGGGCTGTACCCGAATATCCGAATATATATCTTTTTTTATTTTTTTTCCTAAATGTATGCTATCAATAAAGGCAAATTGCGATATTCTTATACTATATTTATACTTTTGAATTGCACTGTTAAAATGCGAAAATATATACAATCTCAGCCTGGGCTCCTGACATCGCTTTCACTCACAGAGTCACGAACGCAAACGTCACGCTTCACCTCGCTTCACCTCGCTTCACCTCGCTTCACCTCGCTTCACCTCGCTTCACCTCGCTTCACCTCGCTTCACCTCGCTTCACCTCGCTTCACCTCGCTTCACCTCGCTTCACCTCGCTTCACCTCGCTTCACCTCGCTTCACCTCGCTTCACCTCGCTTCACCTCGCTTCACCTCGCTTCACCTCGCTTCACCTCGCTTCACCTCGCTTCACACACCTGAACACAACATGACGAAGACTTCAGCTGTGTGGGACCATTTTAAAAATTGGACGACGATAAGAAGAAGGCAGTGTGCCAAATATGCAACAAGCAGAGATGGGGTCGTTACTAAAAAAAAGTAATATATTACAAATTACATATTACTTTTAATAAAAAGTAATATATTACACTACTTCGTTACGCTCTACATAAAGTAACTCGTTACTTTACTCGTTACTTTACTCGCAGGGCCGGCCCGCCCCTCCCTACAGGCAGATCACGCAGACTGCTAAAGTTTCAAATGTTCTCTTTAGTTCAGTTTCCATTGTCGCATAAGACTGATCCAGATCCTGAATGTTTTCCTATCTGACCATGGCTGTCCTCTGTCTCCTGCTATCTGTATATTTTTGCGCAGTCTATCTCTGCTCACGCTGTTGCGTTATGGAAGCAAACAAGAGACAGAAGTATTTGAATTGTATTAGACACCGAATTTATAGCATTGAAAATAATTACTTTGAAAATCATGAATCTGAATTGTTTTTGCTCCGAATTTACCTATGTGAAATAAAAATGTAAAAATTCAAGTAAAAAAAATTCGAATGTTCAAATTCAGA